GGGGGGTAGGGGGGGGGGGGGGGGGGGGTAAATCGGATGGAGCACAGTGCTTTGTCGTATGGCCTCTGGAGTTATATTATCTCATCAGTGAGAAGTCCGAAGCTTCAGTGGTCGGAGAAGCAAGAGACAGACGATGCGATGATGAGTCGCTAGTCGATGAGCCACCGAGCGACGAGGCAGCTTAATCAGCTTAGGGGGCCGAAGGCGGACGGGATTGACTGACTGAGATTTGGCTAGATTCGAAAGTTTGGCAGTTTTAGCTGTGTTCCGCGTAAACGTCCTTTCGGCAATTACGATGGACTTATAGGGATGCCGGTGATCGATGTGTCCCTTCCATAATACACCCTTTCGTGCCCAACTGCCGCAACTCGTAATTCGTGAGGCGGTCAGCAGCCTTTCCACGATCGCAGAGCTCTCGCCAAAACTCCCCTGCTATTTAGCAACTTGTTCCCGAGCTATTCTCGCATACAGTATGTACGAGTTTGTGGCGCGTGGCACATGCGACACGTGTCACGTGTCACCTTTACCTCAATGGCCCAGAAAGATTATCACAAGTTTATCTCTGCCTCATGTAACGTATTTTCGTAACTCGATACCGATAGCGCATAAATCCGAGAGCTAACCTACGTCGCCTTCGGCCGTCCACCCTTCGTCCATGCATCCGCGTGCCAGGCGGATGCCAGCCAATTCGTATTTCACTGGGAACTGACGAGCCGATATGTCATGGGATTTTGAGATGGAACAGTCTCAATTTCGCCAAAACGAGAGCTCCGACGGAACCTGTCAGAGAAGAGACGATAGCTGTCGAACTTTTCGGGGACGCGTAAATTCAAGAGACGCAACTGCAGCTGCTGATCTTTGGAGTTTGCGTAAAATCGAGAAACGCTACTGGAGGCACGGAAGGGGCTTCCCGGATTCAGCTGATCCGTGAAGGCCGAGAACTGCATCCAGAGGACATTCAAGTGGGCACTGCACCTCCGAAACACACGGAGAACATCGGTAGGATTTTCTGGATATTGCGAGAGCAACGCGAGCCCCGTAGAAGCGAGAGTTTTCTGCACCGTATAAGAAAAACAGCTGGAGAAACTATGAAGAAATGACCCGGGAGCTCGAGGCACCTCGATCGGCCTGCTCTGGCAACCGCCAAATTCGGGAACTTATCATTTTGATTGCTTGTAGTCGATAACTATTATCCTTTCCCTCGAGTAGCTCCTTTAAACTAAACCGAGAGCGTTTCTTAGCGAATCGGTAGGTAAAAGATCGAAAGATTCTCCACGGCCGCTTCCCCGGGACATCGGGCAACAGCTGGGCCCAAGAACCATAAATCGGTTCAGGTGGCTCCTCCCCTGGCCTTAACCTCTCTCCAGCTAAGCGCCGGTATCTCACCTGGGACTCCGCCGATCCGTGGAGAAGTCTTCCTCGGGTACATCCTCCCCGTGAGACGAAAAATCACGTCACTCTTATTACGGGACTTTTGCTATTTTACTAATAAGTTCCCGTCTCCTGTATCGCAGCGATATAGAGATCGAGTTGGAAAATCTTTTATTATGCATACTTCTAATATATTTTTTATATGAAAAATGTCAATTCATAAGAAAATCTCTAAGCCTATGGACTAACGTGCACAGATGCATCGCATTGCAAATAAGGCTGAGGTCGGTAAGCTCAACGCGCTTAGAGTGAGTCGCGCAAAGTTAATTTTCGTGCGTGCAGGTCCCGGCCTCATTTTCATCTTGAGTGGTCTAGACTCTAGGCGCTCGAGTTACCTTCCGTATGAATTAATAAGAACTGCCAGAGGCTCTGAGTTTTTCGTTTGCCTAACTCATTGCGGAAAATCAGAAAAAAAATTCGTGAATAACTTCGGAAAGCCAGACGAAAAAAAATGAGCTGTATAATACATATGTATTGACTTAGTTTACGGCCGTACGTGAGTACGCAATTCAGTAACATTGAGTCGGCCTTCAAATTACACGTATGGAGGGTGAATAGCTGGAACACTCGTTCAGCTTGGAAACGCTCCATTGCAGTAACTCCTGCTGCAACGAAACAGAGCAATCCCGAGGAAATTCCACCTTTGCGTTTCGTCGGTTTGAAAACTCGCTACCAGGCTTAAGAACGCAGGAAAGGAAGAATGTTACGTTTATTATCGTGATACCTTCAACGTGATCTTCATCCGTCCTTAAAGAGACAGTCAAATCATCCTCCTCCTATCATTGCAATCATTAAGGCCGATCGATCACCTAACATGGGCCATACATACTCGTACATAAGCTCTGTCTCTGGCACTTTGATGCTCAAGTGTTCCGCGACCGTTGTATGTACTCCTCGTTAGATTTTCTTAATTTCATTGGAAAAAAATGTTTTCGACTAGAACGATCGGCGTACTACGACCTGCAAAAGAAGAAGCGAGAGAGGGCTAATCAGTAGTCGGTGCTAGTCGTACTAAATTCGAGCAAAGGCGAGGCGATTCACGGGGATGAGGTTGGGGCGCGGAGGCCGGGAGAAGTAATGCGCAGTAGGCAATGCGCGAGATGGCAGCAGTGGCTGACGTCGCGTGCCGATGTCCGGGGTGGCGGGTGAACGAGAGTCAGTTGACGGCGCGACTTGCCCTCGTCGAGTTAGTTCGAACTTTTTCATCGAACGGACGAGCAACTGGCAAAAAGCACTTCGCATTAATGCGGTGCGCAACGAACGGAGGCTTCCAGTAGAGTATTTCTTAGTGAATCGTAAATCGTTAGTCGTTAATTGTGCAAGGTGTCAAGTGTGAAGCTTCGCATTGAATAGATTGCATTCGTAAGACGTAAAACGTAAAACTGTTAAGCATTGTGCGGAACTGTGGAACTACGGGAAAATAAAAGTGATATATATTAATAATCCGTATCGCACTCTCCGTTTGCCCTCTCTGGTATTCTATTGCTTTCCGCGGTGCACGTGTAACCAGGATTAACATTACATGAGGGAAAGTGAACACCGAAGAGACGTGTCAGGTAACGCGATTCGAGTGGAAAAACTGGAAAGACGACTTGTCCCGGAAATTTCGTCGCCTCAACTTCGCAGACATTTAATTGCATTGGATCGGAACGGGTCGCATGGAGACGACGTGTGTTCATCTACAATTAAGGTATTTTCATTGCGATTCTCTCATTGACGCCTATATTGGTTACTTCGGCCGCAGATCTCTTCTTGCAGTTAGACGCTGACATAAACATAAATATCGAAACATTGAAAACTACAGGAATGCTTCGTATGCTCCTCGAAAGATTCCCATGAATGCACACACGTCACCATACTGCTTCTTGCCTCACCGAATCACTGCACTATGTTCGTTAACCCTTAAACCGCCGGCATTTCGAAAGTCGAAATATTACATCTTTCCGTGCACATTCCCATCCACATATGTATATATTAACGTAGTGGTCGATATGTACGAGTCATCAGGTAACGCTAAATGACATTATAGCGGCGGACTACTAAGGGTTAAGGTGTCACAGTAGTTTTCATGTCAGGGAGAGAAGTCGGAAGTTCCACTGCGACAGATTACGCGCTTGCACGAATGATTTGCAGATTCGCTTGCAGGTTACTGCACGTTCCTTGATCGAGGATACGTGCGTCATAAATCGATTTGATCCCTTCGCATATGCATAAACGTATCTTCGCCTCACCGCAACACTTTAGTTAGCGTCCAAGAAGTTAGAGAATCTCTGAAAAAATTGTGAGCGCGGACGAAATTTGTTCTCTTCCTCGCTTAGCATAAGGCTCTCTTTCTTCACTCGAGGCCGAACGAATCGATTGTGCCTTGAGAAGCGTTACATTCGTGTTTGCTTAAAAAAGACATCCGATGGAAAACAGGCATTGGGCTGAACGAAATGAATTGGCAAACCGATGAAACGATAAAAAGTCGGTTGACTTCGTTTAATTCCGTTGCTGCGGGAATGGGGGCTGAACTGTTGCGAACCGAATGCTTTTGCGCTTCGAAAATAAATTGTCACTCGCAGTGAGCGAAGCTCTCTCGCCAGGCACGCCAGGAAGTTCAGGTAGTTCAGGTGGCCAGCGACCTCTCAGCACAAACCACGAACGATCGATTATTTAGTCATTGTTGTTCCGACAATCGGAGAGGATCGAGTTATCGGTTTGTTAAAATGTTTCAGAGGTCCTCTCTTTCGATATATCATTCGCCTGACTCATTCCTCGCAACAAAAGAGACCTGACAAGGATACCTGAACGAATGGAAGGTCAAAAGGAAGAGGAAAGAAGGACGAAAGTGTAAATATTGGGGAAAGCCCTGAAAAATCGATTAGGATAGCGCTCGAACCTGTCAATTTGTAAAAAAAAAAAAAAAAAAAAAAAAAAAACGTGAACTGCCGAGCCTTCGCTATCTATTCCCGAGGGTTTGCAATTTGGCTGCCACTACTCCTGGTGGATGTTGATCGACTGAGCGAGTGCTTCGTACGAAGACGAGTCAGGATTACGGCGTATCGAAGTGATCAAGGAGGGTGTGCCTAATAATAATGCTCGCATGCTTCCGTGGGATCGGCTTCGTTGCCTGCCTTCTACGAATGTCTCTAAAGGAAGCGTAGAGTCGTGTCATACGATCTCCTAAATTTGGAAACTCTAGGGTCAGAAGACTTGTCAGTAACGGCGCACCAAAGCGCACCAAAGGGCAGCGCGTACACGCGTGTAGATTACAAATTGGTTTAATATTTGCAAAACATCGAGGGGGAGTAAGGTTGGAATGTGTACGAGATCCGATCACGAGCGAATTGAAGAAGAAATTGATGAACACCGAATTAAAAAGAATTGACATTCCGAGGAATAGCTTTTTGGGTAGATTTTCCAATTACTTGACTGACGGTACCTGAGTGACGTATCATAAAGGCACCATGCGTCTTACTCATTTTCTCTATTTTCTCGTATCAGGGGAAAAAGTAGGCCGTGGTTAAGGCTCCTCTGGAAAAGTAGAAACCTGTAGATATTGCTTCGTGAGATCTGTCCGTTTGGCCAACGGCATCTCGTACACTTTTCATCGGAAGCGATATACCCGTCTGTGTGTGGAGTGGACGTATACATACAACTTGGGGTATTACGTCCTGCGGAATATTTAATCCTGGACCGTCAATGCGCTCAAATTGGATACTGAAATATTGAAATCCTAGAACGTGTACGGTGCACATAATGCAAATGGCATCGTTCAACTACTTTTTTAGTAGCCGCTAAACTTGGTAACACTGACTATATAGTGAGTGCTATTATTATATTTATTATTATTATTGTTGTTGTTGGTGGTGGTTCTTTTGTTGTTTCCGCTATTACCAGTTGTAAATCGCTACTATTCGTTGTTATTTGTTACTACTTTTTAAGGATAGTCATTACTGGTATCATTCGTCGGTCATTTTTATGCCACGACCAGTCGTCGTACTCTTTTTTTCCCAAGGTGCACATTTATCAGAAGGAGAATACCGCACGCTACCGGGCACGCGCGCACGCGCGCACGCGACCAAGTGACGGTTCGCTACGCGTGCTTATAACACGCGCACGCGCGTCTGGAATTCCAAATCGCGATTGCTACTCATTGCAGGCAGAGATGCGCTCGAGATGCGATCGAGATGCGAGCCCGCTTGCCTATTGTCTTCGTAAAATGGACATTTTCGAGGCTTGCGAAGGAGGCAACGTGTGACAGTACACGGGTGAAGGTAAGGATGAAAGACGAAAGTTCTGACAAGTGGGAGTGGTTGAAAGGGTGGCGGGAGAGATCGTACTCGGTACGGATTGTCGTGTCCCTCCCTCCTCGTCTACGAGATACGCTATCTTGGCGAACCGAGCGAGCTGATTGTCAGTTGATGCTTCAGGATTGTTCAGGATTGTTCAGGATTGTTCAGGGTTGTTCAGGGTTGTTCAGGGTCTAGTGAATAACGCGCGAGACCATAAACGCTGCCCCCAGCCCTCCTTCCTGTATCGGACTAGAAATGCCGGTGGGCTCGATCAACACAGCCAAACAAATGGCCGCCTGGGACTGATTGTGAGATAACGTTCGAAGCGCCTTTTACCGCCTTCGCTGAATCTCCGACCCTCTCGAAGCCGCAATGCGTCGCACGGAACGAGAGTGATTCGTCCCGCAGTTAAGATTCCGATTTTAAGGAAATTCCCGAAAATTAGGCGTTTCCTTTAAAAAGTCCCGCTTGGATGGCCAATCGCGATCCGAATTGCCTCTTCGTACAACTTTCATGTATACTTTCGTACTTTCGGTACTTTCGGTACTTTTGCGCGTCGAAGTGCCGCCCTCCAGTACTTGAATCCCCATAACGGACGTGACTGTCATCCTGAGGATGATTGCCAGCCTTTTGTCACTCAAGACACTCCGTAATGTAATGTCAAAGAGTGAAAAACTTCTGTATGAATTCTAAGCGAAGATCTTGCTCGTTCTACGCGTCACCCACACACACACACACACACACACACACACACACACACACACACGTGGTATCTTTTATTCTGAGTCTTTCTGAAGTTACGGGACTGATTGTGCGATTTGATTCGCCATCGTCTTTCTCAGCTGCTGCTGCCTTACGTTCCTCAGTGTATCTTCATTTCGAAGCGAAGCACCAATCGACTCCCCTCCAGGTCCAAATGAGTGACGACCTAATTGTGCGATTAGTCACATAGAAGGGTTTCGTCCTATGGCTTGGCAATTCGATCCGCATTCGTTTTCATCTGCTCCACGTAGAATTTCTGCCTGAAGAAGAAGATGGAAAACGAATAGTAAAAGGAAGACGATGGAAGAAGGAGGAAGCTCTATTCGGTCTTCGGGCAAGCGAAAGGAAGAAAATGCGAAGGAGAAAGGAAGCTCCAACCAAAACTTGGGTTGCACTTCTAACGAAGAGAGAGAAGACAGAGGAGAATAAAATATGCATAACTCTTGCCAGGCCGTTCCTTTGGTTGTACTTACGGCCTCCGGTCTTTTCCGAAAGTGAGGCCATTTATTGAGAATTGCAGAGTCGATGCAGTTATAATTATAAGCAGCGCTTCCACGCCAAGACGTTCGAGGAAATATATTTGCAATATCAGGCCACCTGAGCAGGAGGAGAGGAGCGCGCGCGGGGGGGGGGAGGGGATCATGAGGCCGCCCTGATCGACTCTTCACTGTTCCCTCTCTTCGTGCCACTCTCTCTTCGTCTGTTTTCGACTGTTTTGGCCTTCTAGTTCCAAAGGCTGCCGCTGCCTACTGCTTCTGTCAATGCAGCCTTCCTCTCACGCATAAGCGAATTTACAAGTCCAGACGGTCCAGACCGTCCAGATGCGACTCCAGTGATTCTGCTGACATTCCACGATGCAGCTCCGCCCAGTGCCTTCGCGCTCGGGAGCTGCCGTTGCTCGCTTTCGCAAGTCCAGGGGAAGTCTCTCTGGCATGGCTGCCCACGGAGGCACAAGAAAAGCCACACTGAGCGCCACACGGAGCGCCACAGGGCAAGGGACGACAGGGACAGGACGACTCTGAAAACAGGACCGATTACGAGAATGCCGTCCGATCGGTGCAGTTTGCCGCCGTTCCCTTTGTCTTCCGGTGGTCCCTGCGTGCTCGAAGCGTCAAGACTCCTAGACGCGTCGACCAGAATTTCTATCCCGACGAGGCAACTCGCTGCTTTACTGCGATAACTGCCCCATCTGCGACTCTGGCCAAAAATAAGGAGATTGCCGTCCTTTGCCCTTGTCAGGATGTCCTCGATGTTCGAACCACCTCCGGACGACATCGAGGCGCAGCTGCTCGACTTTGAAAATATTTTGGATCCAATTCGGCGCATTGAAGTCTCGATGGAATTAGTTCGAGGGGAAACTCTGAGGATCGGAGAGGAGAAACGGGATCACGGTATGACAGCCCCTATTTTTTGAACCGAGGTACTCTGAACTGCCCAGGAGAAACCTCAGAGCAGTGAATCCCACGCTCCGTCCTACCTCTACTGATCTCTCTCTCTCTCTCTCTCTCTCTCTCTCTCTCTCTCTCTCTCTCTCTCTCTCTCTCTCTCTCTCTCTCTCTCTCTCTCGTAGAAGCTTCTCTTGGCAATTCGACTGTGTCTTCCCTTAATTTCTTTTCCATTCAATATATGATTGATATCTGTCATTGAAATC